GGAGGTGCTCAATGAAGTCCTTAGCCGTGGACACAAAACCACTGTGCCGACATCAAAACAAAATAAAATATCAGAAATGCTAGTAGTGATCTTGACAGTGTAGATAGCTTTAACAATCACTTTATCTCTATAGTTAAAGACCTTTCCAACAAAATTGGACAACCAAAGGGTGCTACTTTCACACAATATCTTCAAGGCAATTATTTGAATTCATTATTTTTTAACACCAACTGACAAAAATGAATTTTGTAAAATCATTCTGTCAATCATTATGAACATGGAAAGTTCCCAGACAGCAGGGACAGAAGGAATCTGTAGCAAAATTCTTAAAACTGTTGTAAATGAAATTGTGTAGCCTCTTGCCTACTCTATTAATCTTTCTTTACTTTGTGGGACTGTGCCCAAAATGACAAAGATTGCTAAAATTGTACCCGTCTTTAAGTCGGATGATAAAAATAACATGAACAATTACCTATCTATATTGCCCACTATCTCTAAGGTATTGGAAAGAATTGTAGTATATACTAGACTTAGTGATTACTTAGAAAAGTTAAATATTTTTGTTCTATCACAGTGTGGCTTTAGGAAAAAGAGCTCCACTTGTATGGTAATTCTTGATCTCACTTAAAAAATCAATGACGCTATAGATAAAGGTGACTGTTGAATTGATTTATCCAAAGCATTTGACATTATTGACTTCAAACATTATGGTGTCAGAGGAACAGCGCTCAGCTGTTTTAGAAGTTATATATATGGAAGGGAGCAATATGTACATATGAATGGCCACAGATCTCAAAATAAAACCATCGAATATGGGGTCCCCCAGGGATCCATCTTAGGGCCACTCCTCTTTTTACTGTATATAAATGATTTTGCAAATTCCACTAGCATACTACATAAAGTATTTTTTGCAGATGCTACAAACTTATTTTTATCTCATAAAGATTTTTATACAAAATAATATAAATGTAATAAATTATTCTTAAATATAAACAAAACAAATTACTTAATCTTCCATTATAACAGAAATCGATAAAATTTTGACCATGCTTGCAGCAAAAGAAATGGTTCAATCATTGAGAAAGTGAAGTCCACAAAATTTCTGGGGGTACATCTTGATGAGTTCTTAAACTATAAGGTTCATATTGATGAATTGACGAAAAAATCACACAAAACACTCATAACTCTGTACAAGTCTCTATTGAGCATCACCTAAATTACTGTAATGTCATATGGTGCAATACTTTTCCAAGTTACCTAGTGAAATAACAGATTTACAGAAGAAACTTATAGGTGCCATTTCATGGTCCAAGATAAACACTCCCATTGATTTTCTCCTATTTTCTAAAACTACAGTCTTCTTGAAGCTAACAGAATGTTATATCTTTCATAATGCCTCTATAATGTATTATGTAGTACATATGCTTAACAACAGACTATGTGACCTTAGCCCTATGTACTGCAAATCTTATCTGTCAAAGTTTCTCTTTATTGCATATTTGCCTATTTACTTAATGATAGACTGATGCAAAGATTTCTCATTTTCTTGTCTGTTTTGTTTAGGGACCACTGGGAACTTAGGATTAGGGTAGTTTAGTTTTTAGGGTTCTATGTAGGTAAATTTTGAAATACTGTAGAGTGCATTTGCTCTACTTAATTGTAATATATATTTAGATAATATCTTAATACTTTGTGTGTTGTCTGGTCCCCTATGTACAAGCTTGAGATAGCTTATATATATAGGGTGTCCCTATTCACAAAGCAGTATTATTTCTATTATTGTACTTGTAATGTTGTTGTCATGAATAAAGTATTGATTGATTGGTAAGCCACAGAAGGTCATTGCTGACAAGGCTGGCTGTTTGCAAAATGCTGTATCACAGCATATTCATGGAAAGTTGACAGGAAGGCTAAAGTTTGGTAGGAAAAGGTGCACAAGCAACAGGGATAACTGCCTTGAGAGGATTGTCAAGCAAAGTAGATTTCTGAACCTAGGGGAACTTCACAAGCAGTGGACTGAGGCTGGAGTCAATGCATCAAGAGCCAACACGAACAGATGTGTCCAGGAAATGAGCTACAAGTGTTGTATTCCTAGTGTCAAGCCGTTCCTGAACCAGAGATAACGTCAGAAGTGTCTAACCTGGGCTATGGGGGAAAAAAATAATTGAACTGTGGTCAAAACTGGTCAAAAATAAATTTTGCATTTCATTTGGAAATTAAGGACCCAGAGTCTGGAGTCCAGTGTGAAGTTTCCACAGTCAGTGATGACTTCAGGTCATCTGCTGGTGTTGGTCCACTGTATTTTATCAAGTCCAGAATCGATGCAGCGTCTACCAGGAGATCTTGGGGCACTTCATGCTTCCATCTGATGACAAGCTTTATAGAGATGCTGATTTCCTTGTCCAGCAGGACTTGGCACCGGCCCACAGCGCCAAAACGAATAGTACCTTGTTTGCTGATCATGGTTTTACTGTGCTTGATTGGCTAGCCAACTCGACTGACATGAACACCATAGAGAATCTATGGGGTATTGTCAAGAGGAAAATGAGAGACACCAGACCCAACAACTATGAAAACAACGTGGGCTTCCATAACAGTCTCAGCAGTGCCACAGGCTGTGTGCCTCCATGCCACGCGGCACTGATGCAGTAATTTGTGCAAAAGAGCCACACCCAAGTACTAGTAACTTTTCTCTATTCTCAACTTTTCAGAATGTCTTTTGATGATTTTAATTTTTCAGAATTTCTGCATTACACATTTTTTATTCTAATATTCTCATATTTTGAGATACATATATTTGATTTTGATCAAGATTTAAACGAAAATCACTTTATGTGGAATGAATCTAGAATGTATGAAAGTTTCGCTTTTTGAATTAAATTATGGGAAAAAAGGAACATTTCTAAAAATGTAGTAGCATATCACAAATCAGCAACTATAACAATGGCATAATGGCCTCTGATGCAGAAGAGTTCAAGTTAGGCTTAGCCTGCACGCAGGTTAGACACCTAACAGCTAAAATCCACTGGCTACGGCGCATTACGGCTGTGCCGTGGTTCCCGGAGCTAATCGCGGCCATTATAGTCAATGCTCGTGAGTCCACCAGACAGCGTGTCCCAGAAGCGGCTGTCCACTCTGCTCCACAGAGAATAGGTAGTAGGTTTATTTTTGCTGCTACCCACGTCAAGCAGCACAGAGCAGATCGAACCAGGCAGGAAGGCAATTTTCAAAATAAAATACCCGGTGGAGACTCCCGATCGTAAAACAACTATAAACACTGTTTAAACGGACACAAAAGGAAATTATTTAATTACTTAATCATAGTAGAAGCACAAAATGCAAACACTGATTACCAAATCAACATAATCTAAACATGTCAGCAAACATGTCAGCAAAATCGAAAGGGCTATAGCACTACAATTGGTGCAAGGTCTGGGACATTTTATTAGACAAGCAAGACAAAGAAAATGTAGAGAAAGAAATGTAAAGAGCAGTGAGAGAACACGAGAGAAAACTAAAAAGTTTAATATTTGTTTCAATTTTCAGCATCAGTCCACTGTTGAGGAACAAGTGTGGGTCCGCTTTGAGGGGGCTGGGCATCCTCGCAACCTGTGAGGATTGCACTGTCGGGTCGGGTACTACTGCCACTACATCCACGTAAACCAGCTAAATATACAAAAAGAAAGCTTTCTGATCGTTTCTGAAAATATCTAAACTCCTGCATTACTGACTGAGACATCCATCATATCTTTATTGTTTATTAGGACTTCATTTAATGGCAACTGCTATACTGTGTGATTGCAGAGAAACTGACATAAAAGTTGTCAGTGACCATCAGTGTGCATCATCAAAACATCATGACCTGGTTGTCAGAGGAAATCTGGATCTCTGCTGTTAGTACAGAAGGTATAAGCTCTGGATAAAGTGATTTGGAGTCAGTGTTCAACTAAGCAGTCACATTCTGCAGCGACCACACAACAATTAAGTAAATGCAACAGCAAGCAGCTGCCAGAAGAATTCAACAAGCCTGACTTTTTGCTAGTAGCTTTGTAACGGCTTGCTGTTTTTATGTCTGTTAAACTGGAGATCATTTCATAGCGACCATTAAACTCTGAGCTACTGTTGGAAAGAGGGACAAGTATCTCTCCCTCTCCTACAGTATATGTTGCATAGATTGGTGATCCAATGATCCAATCCATGATCACAGGGCTTTACACAGTATTTTAAAACATAGGTCACTTGATGGTGTCCACCTGCAGCATCCTGTGGTAAAGCATCACATTGTGGACTGGTTCTGCTGCTCTTTTGGTCTTTTACTGAACATTTAAAGTCTACAGTGAAGTGTACTGTACAATGTCAATGCAGTGTGACATGAAGTCCCATCCCAAACAATGGTGGGTTTACCTGTGCAAAGCAGTGTGTTAAGTTAAGTTGTGTGCCCTATAGTGATATTGTACTAACATGACATAATACATTATGGGACACTTTCAAATGACCTATAGCTGATATAGCCAGGAGGCCTATTGGTAATTAAATCCCCTAAACAAATTATTATTAACGCTACCTGTGTCCTTACACTACACATTCAGAAGACACGGAGCAACATAATCATCCCATCAGATGATGCCATGTTTGTGTCTACCTGATGAATATAAGTTAATTAATAAGAAGTCCCTTTAGCTCTGGTATGGGCTTCACTAGCTCCTAAGAAAAATATCTGGTTGTTTAATGTTCCTTTCAGCTGCCTGCTGTAGCTCAAAATGAGGTTGATGAAGATGAAGATTGCAAACTGTAAAACCAAAACAATGAGGTAAAAGAGGTTGAGATACACAGCACTGAGGGGAACTGCATAGTTGGTGATATTTCTCCACGGGTTTGTCACTACAAGCAGCATTTTTCATATTACACATAGGCATGTGTATATGTATAGAATTTAAAACTTTATCATTTTTGCAACTGCTTTGTTGTATCAGAAAACACACAATGCAGAACACACTCACCGGTCAGCGGGTGGATGTGGAACTTCCTGTGCTCGTTGCCTGATCGGATACTGTAAGTGATCTCAGCATTGGTCCCGATGTCCTTGCTGGCAGCATAAACTCTCAGAACCTCTGTGCCCACTCCCACATCCTCCGGCACTGTCGCCAGCTGATCACGGCGCTCAAACACAGGCGGGTTGTCATTGATGTCCAGCACAGTAATTGTGACATTGACCAATGAGGAGAGGGGAAGCGGTGAACCCTGGTCAGACGCATGGACTGTTATCTGATAAGCTGGCTGGACCTCCCGATCGAGGATGCGTTCAAGGACCACAATACCTGAGGATTTATCGATGGAGAAGGAACCTCCTGCAGAGTCGGCCAGAGTGTAGACCACCATACGGCCCAGGCCTGTTGCAGAGCCAGAAGAAGAATACTAGGTACACGTCCAGGTACATGTACACTTTTTTCTTTGGTGCCTTTTTTTTATTAAATAAATGAATATATATATATATTTAAATATGCAGTTTAGCTTGTTTTGGTTAATTTTGAAGAAATCTACAGATGCAAACCAATGAAGGGTAGTAGGCAATAAACAAACATGATCTAAATGTGTATTTTGGACTTTCCCTATTGAGTAAAAGAAGACATGGAAGCAAAATAGACCAAAATCTCAAAACAGTAATAATTTTGATCATAGACTTCTCATCTAATAAGTAATGGTGGGCACCAAATTTTTTATTGCGATTAATCGGATGATGATGATGATGATGATGATAAGTTATGCGCAAAATTGAATAATGAATCCTAAAGTAGTGTATTGCGCACTTTTAATTTAAATTTACATGTTATTGCACTTTTGTGTATATAGCAGTACTATATACACAAAAGTGCAATAACATATAAGGTGCTTTTTACCAGTGGTATTCCCTTTACACAGCAGCAATAAAATTTTCTTGTAAATCTAATCAAACATAAACCAAAGCTGTTTGCCCTTTGCCAGGTCCTTTGCCAGGTCCTTACCTTTTATCTAGCTTGTTAAAACAAGTTAGAGTCCAGAGCCACGATCAGAACATCATAACAGGCTCATCAACAGATTAACAGATATAAATCTGTTTTCTTGTTTTTTTTCTGAACAGGTAGCAGAAACATTTTCCTTTTATCAGGGAGCAGCAGCAGTCTATGTTCAGTAGTAAGTGTCCCTGCTAGAGTGAGGTGAAGTGGTCGACAAGGCCTAGCGACAAGCGAGTGCGTTCCCGTGAAACTGTTGCAGTCATGCTTGCCTTACGCACATACCCACCCGCTGCTGACGTTGAATTGTCTTGAACATTTTGTATGCAACGCGGAGCACAAATCAGTGGAAGAGAGACTGATCCTCGCTGTTTGTGAGTTTCCAGAATCTATTTCTGTTTACTAAATGGGACATCAACAGGAGGTAATTTGCATGGCAGAGCATTCCCGCAAAACTAGACGAAGGTCTATCAGGTAAAGTTATGTAGCCTTAAATTTTTACTTTTGTAGCGCACAGCGTGCCGTTTACTCGTGGAGAGTTTGTCTGATCACCGGAGCAAAGAGGAACCCCGTGGGGCCAAGCGACTACGTTGTGATTTTAAGAACATTCCTAAGACCAACATCTTCCCCAGTACTAACCAGAATGCAGTGTGTAGCTATCCACTTCGTTATGGCATTCTCCTGTGACCCATGGTTTGACTGGATGTGTATTCAGAACCAGTGAGCAACGGACTTTCAAAATAATATTAATAAAAACTGTGTTAACGTGCGATAAAATAATTGTTGTCGTTAATTAATTAATGCAATAATAACGCGTTCAGGTGGCCAGCCCTACTAATAATTATACATTCTATTAGTTTGTTGTATGCTAATAGATCTTTGCATTTTACAGCCCTCCCTCAAATGTTACACTAAGTCAATGTCACCATTAGTGTGTGTGTGTGTGTGTGTGTGTGTGTGTGTGCGCGCACACACAGTAAGTGTAAAATAGCAATAAAAATAATAATGTATTTGATCAGTACATTAATGTATTTAGTATTATGTTGCTTGGATGTGTGAAGCTGAAGGTATTCTCGCTTGTGAAACAAAAAGTATTTTAATAATTAATTTTAATGTCCCTCTCCTTGCTGCAGTCATTTATTCTAAATATATACTTGAAACTAGTAGCATAGAAAACCTGCACATTGCGGCATCGTTTCCTTTGCTGTTGCCTGCTCTTTGGGATAAACCTAGTGAATACTAAAGAAGACATCTTGAGTATGATACTATTGTGTGAGTGTGAGGGAATTAAAAAAAATTGGTATGGAAGTTAGAGTTGTGTAAATGTATTTAACATTTTGTTGTAAAAAAAAATTAAAATAATTATGAGAAGTGCCCTTTTTTCACTTGAGCCCCTGCCCCCCAACATGTCCTGTACACATCAGAGGTTTAAAGGCAGTATACTTCCAACAAAGCGCTTGCTGGACCATGTAACTGTGTCTTCAAAGACACAGTTTGCTTCCAACAAATTCTGTATGTTTTTGAAACAGGCAATCTGACAATCACACCCAATTATGCACAGACTGAACAGGTACAGTGGGTACAGAAAGTATTCAGACCCCTTTAAATTTTTCACTCTTTGTTTCATTGCAGCCATTTACAGAGAGATCCTGGAAGGGGTCCGAATACTTTCCGTACCCACTCTATGTGGAGGTGTGATAATAGGCAGGGTTATGTACTTTTGTCTCGAACAAAGTTTGCTTTTTTCATTCTTTACACAACTACTTCTATAATTTTTCACCTACAACAAGTGTAGCACCATGAATGTCTCCCGAAGTGTGCTCCCGTTATCCCCATTTTTCCATTTATCAGATATCTATTAGTCATTTATTTCTCCGCTTCTCTCTCTTTACTTATTGGATATCTTTGTGTCTTTCTGTCTGCCTCTGCTTCCATTTTATGCCTGTCTGTCTTCAAAATGAATGCACCTTATATTTTATGAATGTTTATTAAATTTAAAGCACTATTTTTAATAGTGGTAACACCAGTAGTAGTAGTAGTAGTAGTAGTAGTAGTGGTATCACCTTCATCAGGGTCTATGGCCTGGATGCGGGTGAGCAGGGCTTTGGTGGCAGTGTCTTCGTAGACGCTGGCAGTGTACTGTGATAGTGTAAAGATGGGCGGGTTGTCATTCACGTCAGTCACTACCAGCTGCACCTCAGCACGACACCACCGGCCACCACCATCAGTTGCTTGAGCAAACAGTCTGTAATTGGGTGTCATCTCACGGTCCAGAATCACAGATGACTTGACCTCACCTAGACAGGTTACAACAACATGTGAAACATTAAGAGATGGAGCCATGAGTTAAGTATCCACAGGAATAAATGTTTGAGCAATGTGATAAGCTGGTGACTTGTGCTGCTGCCTTTCACTCTATGATGGATTGATTCAAGGTACAATTTATGCACGCTTAGCGAAAAAATGTTATGTACTAAGTTCTGTTCCAAAAGAAATGTACTATATCCGTGTTTTCAAAGCCACGTCCATACCAGTGTCCGGGTCCATGCCGAAGTCCTGGGATCCAGGACCATGTAAAGAGTACTGGATCCAGGCACTGATGCCTGCATCTTCATCTGTAGCTCCAACCCTCAGCAGCACACTGCCGATGGGGAGGTCCTCTGGAATGGAGGCAGTGTACACAGCCTGCAGACACAAACATAAAGCGAAGACCCGGTCATTGGAATGACACGACCCTATGAAAGGTTGACAATGGCTACATTAACAGTAAGCTGAGTCAAATAAATGTAGGAGGCTAAAGCTAACAGCCATTTTCCAACGTATTTAACTGAAACCATGGATGCATCTGTCCTTTGAAAAAAGCAATTTGAGGTTTTATTCCCCACCTGGTCACAGATGGGACTGTTGTCATTGGTGTCTATCACTGTCACCTCCACTGTTGCTTGGGAAACAAAGAGCCCATCGCTAGCAGTGACATTGATGGTGTATAGGTTGCGATCCTCCCTGTCCAGTGGCCACTTCACATACATCTTCCATTCACCCTGAACCAGACCCAGTGCAAACACACCACGATAGTTCCCACCTGGATCACACAGACAGACAGAGAGAATCTAGTGAGATACAGGATCAGTAAAAATATTTTAGGCCTACATGGAGTTTGTGACTGATTTCCCAAAAATTTTCATTAAAGTAGAGCCTTCCTCTTTGCACAACATGATTGGCTGCTGGCAGATTGATTCTGAAAAATTAGTTTTGTTGCACGCTTTCATTTTTCATTTTAGGGTTAGGAAAGATATCAAGTTGTGTATGTTATGTATGTTTATATACATTTACAAAAAAGACAAAGATTTCTTTACCAATTGCACCCATAGAAGTAACTTATATAAAATACCTGTAATTATATGATTAGTGTCTGCTGTATGTGGACAGTACAGGGAAAGTAATGTTGCAGTAGAGGATAAGGCTTAGACAATAAAACTGAAGCTTTATGAGAGCACTGGGTGGCTGCTGACCCATTTCAATGGACTATCAAGTCAGGAAGACAATACTGTATATTACTGAAATATTCAGAAACATACATGCACAAATATATTACAGTATAAGTAATGTTAGCCTAGTTAGCAAGCGGATGGAAAAGTAGCCATCATCTGTGTTTGTTGGTCCCATCACCCTCACTTTGCAAGTTTTGGTGGTCCCTCATGGGTATCCTGCATACTTCCCTTCAGCTCAGCTCACCCAATTTGTATGTATACTGACATTCAATCACATCAATCAAATGGAAATAATAATACTTTAATACCAGGTGTAAATACAAAGGCATGTAATCAGTTGTCATTATCTTTTCTTTATAAAATGCATCTTGGCTCATAGTTGAGAACAGCAAAAAATAGTTTCAATTATAAAGAGCCTTGCAATTTTTTTTAACCAGTTTCAACATGAAATAATTTGAATTTCAACAGATCAGCAGCAAATTTAATTTAATATGATGCCACTTGAGAAACATAATTCAGGGTAAAAGACCCAGCACCTGAGAATAACTACAAAAATACAACAATACTGAAAGCAATATGTTATATATTAAGGTTTTAATATTAGTACTCTAGAGCAGTTAGTTATATTTATGTCCATGCTGTGATTCTGTAGTAGTCCTGTAGAAGTGGCTACATTTCTTGTGCCTGTGTAGTGACACATTAGTGCATAACTGCAGAAGTGCTTTGTTTGTGAATGTGTTTGTTTAGGGCCTTGAGCCTTTATTATAAACTTCTTAATCTTTTTAAGCCATAGTGGGAGATTGACCATCTGGTGACCTGGTGCAGCCAGAATACTCTGGAGCTCTTAAGACAGTGGAGATGGTTGTGGATTTCAGAAAGAGCCCGGGACCCTTACCGACACCAACTCTCAAATGAACCATATTGCTTGTATGTGTGAAACTTCTTTGCAATAAACCTGATTCTGTCCAAATGAAAACTGATCTAAACACTACAAAATTCAGAACTAAGAAATCCAAAAACCCAGCAGCAGCCTCCAAATCTTTAGTGTTTGAATTCCATGTGCAAATACTTCAGTCAAACACAAAGGTGAATTTGACAGGCAGGAAACAAGAATGATTACAGCATGTCAGTAACAATGTGGAAAAAGGCAATAAGTGGGAGGGAGATAGTGAAGGTCACCCTGAAATAGATAAAGGGATAGATGTATAATCAGAAAGACCAGCTGACATACTGACATCACCATCCGTCGGCTCTACCAATAGTAGGCCGAAAACAAATAAATGTGCATTCACACCCAACCTCTTCATTGAAAATTAAAATGAAACTTTTATAGACACATATTTTCACAGCAAGAAGGTATGTTTCTCTAGGTTCTTTCTTGATTTGATGCTGCACTTTTCATATTGCATAACATTAAGTGGTTCTCTCTTGAAAGTGAGAAAGGGCACACTGGTCAGTATTTTCAACAGCTTGTGTTTCCATTTTCCCCCCTGACATTTCTGTTATCTATATCTTTTATTCTTTCCCTCTCTGCACTGTAGCAGCAGCTCCTCCTACGTCTCAGCTGTCAACTATAAGGTCACATCACTCACAAGTCTGTCATTCACTCCAGCAATCTGGCTGATACTCATTGCAGTGCCATTAGGAGAGGGATTCTCTTCCTATTATGAGTCATTTATTAGCTGTCTATCACCTTTTGGCATGTTAGTTCTCTGTCTTAGTTTTCCGGGAGTCCTAAAGTCATTACCTTCTATTCAGTTCTTTAATCGCCTGTCAATAAGTCACAGCATTAAAAATATAAAATATAAAGGTGAGTGTGAAATAAGCATAGAAAATGCCCCCACCACTTTTAAATGAATTGTGTGGCAGCATTTTGGGTTTGCGGTGGAAACGCTTACAGAGTGCCAGACAAGACACAAACAAAATGTAAGTAACAATTCAAAATGCAACTAGATTGACTTTCAGTCCAATAAAAGACTTCACCTCGTCTTGTTCTCGTGAGCCCAGTAACGTGTGTCATCACACTCCTAGTAATTACCAATTTCAACCTCCAAAAATGTTATGTGATTTTGAAGATATTACACTAATAGTAGAATATAATATTGTATAAATATAAACGTGGTAAGTCCAAGTATAAACGTTTATTACCTCATCACGTTATTACCCCATTAATGTCTCCAAATTACCATTTGTAATCCAAATATTGTACTGATACAACTAATTGTATTGTTAGAAGGTTACCATATTGTTCCCAAAATATTACAATGATATCACTAAATATTAAAGTAAGAATGATTTAAAAAAAATTTTTTAATGTTAACATTTATCAATAAACAAAATGCAAAGTGAGTGAAAAATATAAATAAAATCAATATTTGGTGTGACCATCCATTGCCTTCAAAACAGCAACAATACTTCTAAGTAAACTTGACCAAAATCAGGGATTTTCTTAGGCATATTGTCAGGTGTATGATTAAAAAATTGTACCAAACAGGTGCTAATGATCACCAATTCCATATGTAGGTTGAAACAAAAGCATTAAGTGAAGCAGAAACAGCTGTGTAGGAGGAATACAACTGGGTGAGGAACAGCCAAACTCAGCTAACAAGGTGAGGCTGCTGAAGACAGTTTACTGTCAGAAGTCAACAAGACACAGTAGTTACACTGCATCAGCAAGGTCTCTCCCAGGCAGACAGGGGTTTCCAGATCTGTGTCTAAGCTCTTTTGAAGAAGCACAAAGAAACTTACTGCAGCAGATGAAAGACACATCATGATTACTTCTTTCGCAATCAGAAGATGTCCAGCAGTGCCATCAGATCAGAGTTGCATAAAACAGTTCGACCCTGGTATACCCATCTACTGTCCGGAGAGGTCTAGTCAAAAGTGGCCTTCATGAAAGATCAAAAAGATGTCCCTCCGGCAATGGAATGTGAAATATTGGGCAGCAGCAGAAGGCAGTTTCACCAGTTCACCAAAGTGCTGGAGAGCGGTACAAGAATGAATGTCTGCAGGCAACAGTGAAGTGAGTTGAGGATTTGGCCAGATTTAATGGTCTTCTCAATGTTGGAAAGTACAGGGAGATACTTAGTGGCAGTACCATCAGGGAGACATCTGACTGGCCCCAAGTTTATTCTGCAGCATGACAATGAGCCAAAACATACAGTGAAAGTCATTAAGAACATTCTTCAGCATTGAGAAGAACAAGGAGTACTGGAAGTGATGGTGTGGCCCGAATCTGTCTGGGATTCCATGAAGAAGGTGAAGCAACTGAGGTTGCCTAAATCCACATAAGGACTGTGGATGATTTGGGCCAACCTACCAGTGGAGTTCATTCAAAAATGTTGTGCAAGTGTACTTAGAAGAACTGATGCCGTTTTAAAGGCAAAGGGTGGTCACGCCACATATAAGATTTTTCTCATTAACATTGCATTTTGTTAATGGATAAATAATCTGTCTATTTATGAAAGCATTCTTGCTTTACAGCATTTTCCACACCTGCTTGCACAGTACTGTGTACAAATATTTTTAATTAGAATTCAAATAAAAACAATATACACAGTTACTTACGTATATATAATGATTTTGTCATGCAATGCATTGCAATGACAATTACATTTACAGAGGTACTCACCAGTGATGTGGTAGCTGACTTGTCGGTTAATGGGAGAGCTGTCATCATCTCTGGTGTTGAGCACAGCCACCACCTCACCTGGCGGGTCGCTCTCCTGAACTGAACCAAAGTACTGTTGCTCCAGGAACCTGGGCGGGTTGTCATTGATGTCTGACACTGCTACGGTCACAGTGGTGGTACTGGAAAGAGACAGGGTCTCCCCAAGGTCTGATGCCACCACTGTGAATGTGTAGGATGGATTGGTCTCATGATCCAAGTCCTTGCGTGTGGTGATCCAGCCTGTGTTGCTGTCAATGCTAAAGGTGCCAACAAATGTTTCTGAATCCACTTCTGACTGGATTAATGCCCCAAAACTATAAGTTACCTGACCATTGGCCCCTGAGTCTGGGTCTAATGCTTGGACTTGAATAATTCTGGTTCCAACTGGCATTCCCTCCATAACTGTGGCTTCATAGGAGTTGGCATCAAAGGCTGGTTTGTTGTCATTTAGATCCAACACTTTGACTTCAACATCAACAGAAGTCACAGAAGCCAGCTTTGCCTGTTTTACAGTGGCCGTGACTTTGAAGTGGTATCCTTTGATCACATCATGGTCCAAGGGCTTATCAAGCTTGATTACACCTGTATCCTTTCCCACCACAAACACCCCATCTTGGTTGTTTTCTCCAGTCTCTCCGTTAACCAGGGAAAAAGTAGCAGTGAGTGAGCTATATCCAGGAGAAGTATTGAGATGCAATGTTCCTATGGTTGAACCAATGGGGGTGTCCTCTGGCATGCTAAATAAGTATTGATGTTGGCTGAAGGAAGGAATGAAAGCATCTATAGAAAGAACATGGATGTAGACAGACACTAGAGAGTGCCGGACTGGATTCCCTCCATCCACAGCTTTCACAAAAAAAGATAATACAGAGTTCCTCAGGTGGCTGAAGCTGCCTTTAGTCACCATCCAACCATTGTCTGGGTCTATCTCCAATATATCTATCACAGGGACATGTGCCTCACTGTAAAGTGAATATGTCACTTTGGCATTAGTACCGTCATCAGGATCATAAGCCTGAATCTGTGTCACCAAAAAACCTTTAGCCACATCAGATTTGACTGAAGCTCTGTACTCTGTCGCACGGAAGTGAGGTGCATTGTCATTATCGTCCAACAGATTAACTTGTACTGTACAGTAAGAGACACGTCCACCCGAGTCCCTGGCTGCTACTGTCAGAACAATGTTTTTATTGGCAGGGTCCTCTCGATCAAGCTTTTCTATAGTAGCGATCTGACCACTTGCATCAATGCTGAATTGGTCCTTGCCCACATCATTAACAAAGGAATAACTTATGTGACCGAACACTCCAGGGTCTGCATCTGTTGCCCTCACCTGAAATAAAAACATCTCTTAGTAACACAGACATTAGTATTTATATAATCACAGTACAATATTATGAATGTTTCTTTTTCGAAATTATACAAAAGAAAAAGTTATTTCAATGAGATTTAAATGGCACTTACCTGTACAACTTTGGTTCCCACAGCAGAATTCTCTCTTAACTCTGCCTCATACATATTTTGCGCAAAAACTGGACTATACAGGTTGGCTCCCAAAACCTTAACATGAACCTGTGCAGTGCTGGTGAACACCCCATCAGACACTGAAACATTGAGGCTGTAGGCAGACTCCATTCTTTGCTTATGATGGCTGGATAATGTAATGATTCCTGTCTTTTTGTCCATCACAAAGTTCATTCCTTCATTTCCTGACAAAATGCTGTACTCCAACTTGTCAAAATCCGAGCTGTCAGCATCTGATGCCTGGACACAGGTTACAAAGTGACCCCTAGGTGCTAACTCATTCACATATGCCTCATAGAGGAGCTGGTTGAAAACAGGAGGATTGTCGTTCATGTCATTCACTACAACTATGACTGATACTTCACTACTCAGAGGTGGGAACCCATTATCAGTGGCCCTGACAATGAAGTCATACTTGTGGACTAGTTCATGGTCTAGCATACGTGCTGTCAGGATTAATCCACTGCTACTATCAATGTGAAAGTATTCTGTGCTGTTATGCGCATCTGAGAAAATCTGGTAACGGACAACATTGTTTTTCTCTGAGTCTTTGTCAGCTGCAATTACTTGAAGTGCTGGAGTTCCAATCATGGCTGTTTCAGACAAAACTACCCTGTACAACATTTTCTGGAAGATAGGCGGGTTATCATTTACATCTTGGACAAGCACATCTACATTAACTTCAGCACGGGCACCAGTCAGATAATCTGTGGCTCTGATGGTCAGCTGGTAAGATAATGCTGCTTCATAGTCCAAAGTGTGGATGACACTTATGACTCCAGTATCAAAACCAATATCAAACTGAAGAGATGGGTCTCCATCAACAATGGTGTAGATTATGTTCTGACCTTCAGGACTAGTGGCATTGATGCCAAGGATTGGTGTGTGCACAGCCACATCCTCATTCACAGAAACAGAATAAAATGATTTGTCAAAGACAGGCATGGCTTTGTTGACTACTGTGATGGGAAACTCTGTAGTAGATGAGAGAGGTGGATAACCACTATCTTTGGCATATATTACCATCTGATATTCGACATTGGACAAGTCTGACTCAAAAGCCCTCTTCAGGCTGAGACTACCCGTCTGTCGGTTGATCTCAAAGTGACCATGGTCATCTTTGAGGTAATAAGATACCTCTCCATTAATCCCTTTGTCAAAGTCTACTGCCATGACCCTGAAAATGGGTGATCCAGGCTCAGCTTCAACTTGAACAGCTGCATAATAAGGAAGTCCAACAAACACAGGTGCATTATCATTTATGTCCTCAACTTGGACTCTAACCATAACTCTGGCCACATGCAGACGGTCGTGCTCCCTTCTCGCCTCAACAACTAGTTCATAGAACTCTTGCTCTTCACGGTCAAAGGGTATTCCTGTGGTTTGGATCACGCCAGAAGTTGGACGGATTCTGAAGCATGTACCGGCATTCAACAAGGTGTACTTCAATGGTTCATTAAGACGGTTTCCCACAGCATTTACCACAGCCACTTCGGTGATATTTAACACATTCTCTTGAATAGATGAAGAGTAAACGCTATGGGTGAAGCTGAGACCAGAGTCCAGAGCTTCTCGGACAAGAATGGTTACCAAAGCCGTGCTGGAGAATTTCCCATCTGAAACTTTGACACTGAAGCGGAAACGTTCTTTGGAGAAGTTGTTGTTTTTTACTATGATGACTCCACTGGAAGGTTTGATGGCAAAGTGCTCCAGTACTCCATCAGTCAGAGAGTAAGTGAGCTCTGTTGAGACATCTTTGTCAGGGTCTATGGCTGAAACCTGCAAAGCTTCTACTCCCACATAGGTGGGGAGTAGCAGGACTGTTTCATAGGCATTCTGTGTGAAGCAAGGTGGTGAATCATTTGTGTCAGTCACTTGTATTGTGACCTCAGTTGGACTGTCTGCTGTCAACTGTGGCCTGCCATTGTCCCTCACATGGACATGAAAGTGGAAGATGGCCAGTGTCTCATGGTCTAGATTAGCAATGGTTCTGATAGAACCAGTTCCTGAGTCCACCGTGAAGAACATTTTTGCAGTGTCCTCAACAATCTGGTAAACCAACAGAGCATTTTGGTTGTGGTCAGCATCAGTGGCCTTTATTACTAGAGGTGAATCATCTGAATTCAAGACCACACTGTTGACTGGTGCAGCCTCGCTGATGCTGCCACGATAGTGAAGCTGTTGGAAAACTGGTGGGTTATCATTCCTATCCATTATTTGGATTACCAGAGTTGCATTGGATGCCATGCCAGCCATATTGGTAGCCTGGACTATTAGGGTGTAAGATGTTGTAGTCTCATAGTCTAGGGGCTTTTGAGTAGTAATCACTCCACTGTACTGATTTATTTGAAAAACACGATTGGTATTGCCCTGCTTGATGTCATAAGTAAGGGTGGACTGGCTGACTGCACTTACTGTGGTTACAGAGGTCCCAACCACCACATTCTCTGTGATCTCAGCCTGGTAGTCAGGCTGAGGGAACTTAGGGCCAGCGTTATCAGAGATGGTGACAGCAATACGTACTATAGTGGTGGTGGACAGGGGAGGGGAGCCATTGTCAGTAACTCTGACAGTGAGAACATAATGGCCTATGCTAGACAAGTCCAGGTCACGTGCAACAGTGACGATACCCAAAACAGGTTCAATATGGAAAGCATTTCCATTGTTCCCTGTCAGAAAATAAAAAAACACAGATACAAATTTTCATCAGTGGTAGGGAAAATTATTTACAGGATCACTTTAACATACAAGTGCAAGTATTTAGTTGTCAGACGAGCCTACCTGCTTCAATGGAGTAGTATAGCTCTGCATTCTGGCCTTTGTCTTTGTCCAGGGCAGTGACTTGGACCACAGCTGATCCCACTGCTGCTGACTCATAGACTGAGCCTTCATACAGAGCACTGGTAAATATTGGTACATGGTCATTTATATCTTCCACTTCTATTAGCACACGAGCCAGGTTCTTTCTGTATGGGAACTCTTGGTCCTTCACCTGTGTGCACAACAAAAAAATACCAAAAACAAAAATAAAATAAACAAGTAAACAGACAAAAAACATCCTTCATGGTCACTACTAACTCAATAAAATCTAATAATAATGTAACTGAAAAAGCTCAAATAGGCAGTGTAACAAACGCCAAAACAAAATGCAAAATATCATCAGACCAGAACTCTTGCTCCTTTACTTTCTTTTGCCGCATGTATTTCCCTAAATATCACATTTTGATAACAGTAGTTTTACTGTTGGATACAAAAATGTGTACCTGCTCTTTGGGTCTCCTGCTTTTCTAAATATAAGACTCAGAAATTATTTCTCTGGGGGTAAATCAATGTCAATATAATTGTAGTTGCACAGACTATAAGTCAAAAATACATATTACAATTTTAAACACAAAACACAGTTTACAAATAGATTCAAAATAAACAAACAAACACATGATCCACAAATGGAAATCAATGACTTGTATATCAAACCACTGTTTTAAGACGTGCGTACAAATTCTGTGCAATGCTCATCATTCAAGTGACTGTGTGGATCAAAGTGTATTTGTGGATCGTTTTGACTTTGTTTACAAATCATTTTGACACTGTTTTACCGCAGACTGTAAATACAATCCACAAATATGGTCAGCCAAGAGGGGTATTGCTTGCTATGTGATCTCACATAGGCTTACTATGTCCCCTATTCCTTCCGACACCGCAGACAGTGGCAGCCCACTCAGTAGCTCCCCCTCCCATTCCTAGTATTGGAATGGTTTTTATGTTTTTATATTTGAAATTCAACTTTTGATCTATTTAACACTGTTTTTGTAAAAAGGACTTTTGTAAATAGGATTAACACCAACAACGGTCAGCTGTAAGGAGGGCTAATCACTGACAATGGACACCGCAACCAATTCAATTCAATTTTATTTATATAGCGCCAAATCACAACAACAGTTATCTCACAGTGCTTTTCATAAAAGAGCAGGTCTAGACCGTACTCTGTGATGTTATTTACAGAAGCCCAACAATTCCCACCAAGAGCAAGCACTAGGCGACAGAGGCAAGGAAAAACTTCCTTTAAGAGGCAGAAACCTCAAGCAGAACCATGGCTCAGGGTGGGCGGCCATCTGCCTCGACCGGTTGGGGGGTGAAGGAGAGGGAGAGGGCAAGAGAGGAACAGAGAGAGAGAGAGGGATGGAAGGAGAGAGAGAGGGGGAGGGAGGCAGCCTACACAATATCCACACAGAGGTACAGACAGTAAAGGTGATGTTGCTATAGACTAAATGAAAAATGGTATAGATATGTATAGTAGTGTTTATGATAATAATCGTAATGTTATGATTATAATAACAATAATAACAATAGGACTAGTAACTATAATTGTAGCAGAGCGTGTCGAGCAGGAACACAGGGGCAGTAGGTGACCCGCAGCCACAGATCCAGACTCTACAGCTCCAGAGCCAGAAAACCTGAAGGAAGTGATAGGAGGAGAGAGGAGAGGGACGAGAAAGCACAAGACTACCAGAAAGGGGAGAAGTTGAGTTAGTAACATGCAATAATGGGATGAGGTTGCATACAGAAGGAGAGAAAGTAGAGGAGAGAGGAGCTCAGTGCATCATAGGAAATCCCCCGGCAGTCTAGGCCTATAGCAGCATAACTAAGGGATGGTTCAGGACTCACCTGAGCCAGCCCTAACTATAAGCTTTATCAAAGAGGAAAGTCTTAAGCCTACTCTTAAATGTGGAGATGGTGTCTGCCTCCTGAACCCAAACTGGAACCTGGTTCCACAGGAGAGGAGCTTGATAGCTGAACGCTCTGGCTCCTAGTCTACTTTTGGAGACTCTAGGAACCACAAGTAACCCTGCATTCTGGGAGCGCAGTGCTCTGGTGGGGTAGTAAGGTACTATGAGCTCTTTAAGATAAGATAGTGCCTGACCATTAAGAGCTTTGTAGGTAAGAAGAATGATTTTAAATTATATTCAGGATTTTACTGGAAGCCAATGCAAAGAAGCTAAGACAGGAGAAATTTGATCTCTTTTCCTGGTTCCTGTCAGAACATGTGCTGCAGCATTCTGGATCAGCTGAAGAGTCTTAATGGACTTTTTCGAGCAGCCTGATAATAAGGAATTGCAGTAATCCAGCCTAGAAGTAACAAATGCATGGACTAGTTTTTCTGCATCATTTTTAGACAGGATGTTCCTAATTTTCGCAATATTACTTGAAATTTGCTTAATGTGAGACTTAAACAACATGTCCTAGTCTAAGATAACTCCAAGATTCCTCACAGTGGTGCTGGAGGCCAGGGCGATGCCATCAAGGGAAACTATATTTTTAGATAATGCGTCATGGAAGTGCTTGGGTCCCAGAAAAATAAATTCAGTTTTATCTGAGTTTAACATTGGAAACTCACACTATCAACAAGATGATCGATTTGGGAGGAACCAAAATTAGCATAGGAGTCCTCCGTTACTTTGTGACTAGATAATGAATTTAGAGCTGATGGAATCGCATCCTTAAATTTAGCTACAGCACTATCAGACAGACATCTTTTTTCCCAATGGCGTGTAGTTCAGCAATACAAACTCAAAAGTTATCAAACAGTGGTCAGATAAAGAGGGATTCTGTGGGAACACTATTAAATGTTCAATTTCAATATCATATACCAGAACAAGGTCGAGGGTGTGGTTAAAACAGTGAGTCGGTTCATGAACACTGAGAGAAGCCAATGGAATCTAACAGAGAGATAAACACAGTACTGAAGCTGTCATTCTCAACGTCCACATGAATATTAACATCCCCTACAATAATAACTTTGTCCGTTTTAAGGACTAAAGTTGACAAAAACTCTGCAAATTCAGATAAGAATTCAGAGTACGGACCAGGTGCTCGGTACACTATAACGAAGAGAATTGGTTGCAGTGATTTCCAACTTGGGTGTGAAAGACTAAGAACAAGGCTTTCAAATGAGTTATAGTTTGGTTTAGGTTTAGAGCTGATTAGTAGGCTAGAGCCAAAGACAGCTGCAACTCCACCTCCTCGGCCTGTGCCTCGAGGAATGTAGGTATTAATATGAGTGGGAGGGGTGGATTCATTTAGGCTAACATATTCTCCATCACCCAGCCAGGTTTCAGTAAGACAAAATAAATCAATATCATAATCTGATATTAGTTCATTTACTTGTACACCTTTAGAAGAGAGAGATCTGATGTTTAAGAGTCCACATTTAACTCTCCTATTCGTTTGCACTATTGCTCTAGTGGTTTTAATTTTTATTAAAAGGTTTTTATGCACAGCTCCTCTTCTGTTTTACCTTCGGGGGGCAGACACCGTCACTATAGGATTTTCACTAAGTAGCTCCTGTTAGTTAGACTGCAACTCTGCGTAGGGTTTTGGGTGGGTAGAAGGGCAGAGAAGTGTGTTAAACTGCGACTCAACTCTGGGTTGTCATGGATTTGGTCCACTAATAAACTTGGCCAGATTTCTAGAAATGAGAGCTGCTCCTTCCCAAGTGGGATGGATGCCGTCTCTCCGAATCAGACCAGGTCTTCCCCAGAAAGTCTGCCAATGATCTACAAAGCCCACATCGTTTGCTGGACACCACCTCGACAACCAGCGGCGGAATGACGACATGCGGCTATACATGTGATCACTGGTCAGATTTGGCAGGAGTCCAGAGAAAACTACGGTGTCCGACATTGTTTTTGCGTATGTACACACCGACTCAACATTAATCTTAGTGACCTCCGATTGGCGTAATCGGGAGTCATTATCGGGAGTCATTACCACCGACATGAATAACAATCTTACTGTATTTACGTTTATCCTTAGCCAGCAGTTTCAAATAAGACTCAATGTCGCCCGCTCTGGCCCCAGGGGTGCACTTAACTGTGGCCGCTGGCTTCGCTAACTTCACGTTTCTCAAAATGGAGCTGCCAATGATCAGAGTTGGTTTCTCAGCGGGTGTGTCGCTGAGTGGGGAAAATCTCTTAGAGACGTGAACAGGTTGGTGGTGACCCGTGGGATTTGAATGCTTACGACTATTCCTCCTTTAGACAGTCACCCAGCCACCCCTTACCGGCTGCTCAGGAGATGCCGGGGGGCGGCTCCACACCGACTACTCAAGCTTGCATCATCTTGTCACAAGATCTCTGACGTAATTGCTGACGTAATCTGCACTCTGCGCATGCGTTGGCGTCTGTAGCCACCTGTCGGAAGCTCCGTCTTAAACCGGACTCTTATCCAGTTTTAATCCACTCTTTTTTTTCCGTTACATTTTTTATATCTTGACTTTCAGAGGAACTCAAAGAGAAAGATTCCCTGCTGACTGGCTTTATGGATGTGGCTTCAGTACAAGCCAAACAGATTGTTTCTCTTAGCACAACCGCTAACATCCAGGACACCGTGTTTTGGGACCCCTCTAGTCTTCCCAGGCTTTCATCCTGCTCGACTCCGAAGCATCAGTCAACCTGGGCTGAAGTGGTGGTCAGTGGCTGCAAGAGAGGCTTGGATGGGGCTGCCTCTCCTCCGGACATCGGCCTCTCCAACCGCTATGCAGCCTTGTCTAACGACACTCCGGTCCATCCAGCTGATGCACCTGCGGCTTCGAGTCTCCCTGATACGGATCTCTTTCGGCGCACAGTGCCTGCCGACACTGTTGCATCTCCTCCACCGGCTACATCTCCTGCACTGGGCCGCCGGTCTGCCGCCGGACCTGATCGGCGGCCGTCATCCCGGACAAAAACCTCCGCTTCCCGACGTAGGATCCTGAAGGAGGCTGTGCTCAGACGCTCCGGAGGCCGTCTCTACCCTGCACCGTCGGGTAGCCCTTCTCTCAGGTCTGTTACTGCTACTCCAACACAACACTCGGCAGCTCACACACTCCATCCTCAGAACGCACGCGGTGTTGAAGCAGATTCTGCTCAGTCCTGCTCTGGAACCCCACAACCAGCATCTCCTCGTCCTCTTTTCTCCCCAACCACACTAATAATTGGTGACTCCATAACCAGA